AAAAAAAAAAAAAAAAAGAGCGAGCAGGAGGAGAGGCCATGAGGAAGGGATCCAAAACTCTCGGTCCTTTTGAGGATTTGGCATTTTCTTTGGGTTTTATTACTTTAAACGGAAGCGTCTCTTTCCTCTCTGAGGCCAGACAAATGCATGGCCCCGCCGTGGAGGAGAATGTAGAGAGGTGCTCAACCTGCTCACCTGCTACCCGAGGATTCAGGCAGAGCCGGTAAGGGGTGGGAGTAGCATCTTCTCCTCCTCCTCCTCCTCCTCCTGCTCCCCCTTCTCCTCCTCCTCCTTTTTCTCCTCCTTACCCTTCTTCTGCTCCTCCCCATCTTTCTTCCTAGAAAAGAGTTGTTTTTTGATTTTTTTTGGTACCAGGGGATCGAACTCCAGACCTTGAGCCTGTGATGCAGGCAGCGGAACCACTGAGCTAAATCCCTGGTCCTAGAAAAGTTTTGAGAGGAAGAAAATGTAGAGATCATTTAATTTAACCTACTCATTTTATAGATAATAAAACAGAATAAAAGAAGTGGGGAAGCCTCCCTTACAGGCAGGGCTGTTAGCGAAGCAGCCAGGACCACACTGACCGGCCCCTGGCCTGCCGTCTGCGCCGGCTCTGAGGGTGATGTGTGGCCTCCGAGGACTTCTCTGCCGTGGACTTTCCCCACGTTCACATTTGTCCACTGCTATGTTGACAGCTGTCGACAGGTGTGCTCTTAACACTCACGGATGTGAACACATTTGTGTGAATGACAGGACGGGCTCTTACCACTGTGAGTGCCATGAAGGTTACACCTTGAATGAAGACCGGAAAACATGCTCAGGTAAGGGAGGGTGGAGTTGGAACAATGAGTGCTTTCCTTCTGCCTGCCCACCTGTGCGGTTCTCAGGCACTGAGAGCTTGGTCTGTTTTCTTCTCCTGCCTCCCTGGGGGTTCCCAGTCTGTTTGAAAAGTTGGGAATGTGTGCGTAGCACACGTGTAACTGTGTGCCTCATTTCCTCTCTGTCCCCTCTGTCCTTGAAAACGCTGACTTAACACCAAGCAATGGTCCAGAAGATACTTACTGTGTACCGAGGGTGACACCATGACGTGGCAGTGGAGAAAGTGGGCAGGTGCCATATCAGCCAGAGGTGGCAGTCAAGAGTGTCAGGATGACCGTAGGGACGTCCTTCCCTGAGGACAGGACAGCACAGGTGTGATGTTTCTGCTAAAAACAGAATCTTGAGGAAACGTCAGACAAACTCAACTGAAGAGGCATTTCTAGTTCAGGAAATAATTTCCAGTGTTTTAAAAAATGTGTCAGAGTCATAAACGACAAAGATGGACCGAGAACGTGTCCTAGATTGCAGGGGACTCAGATGTGACAGTTAAATGCAGTGTGGGACCCTGGACTGGAAGAGAGGCATCCGTGCAACAGGTGGCAAAACTTGGGTAAAGTGTGCTGATTAGCAAGTCACACTGTGCTATTGTGTTGATCTTACCAGGAAGTTGTTAACATCTGGGGAAGCAGGGTCAAATAAGGAAATTCTGTTTCACACTGTTTTCATAAGTCTGAAATTAGCTCTAAATGAAAAATTAAAAAATTAAAAAAAGAGGTTTAAAAAATATATCAGTATCAGGAAAAGTCCATTGAATGAAAACTTGGGTCTTGAATTCCGATGCTGCCCTGAATCCACTGGTCTTATTAGGGCTCATTTTCCTCAATTAAAAAACAGGAGAAGATTCATTTATAATTTCTTCAAACTCTAATTCTGTTTTTCCAAATATAGCGCAATTAGACACGAAACTGTTGGTGTTTCTCTCAATTAGGATAAATATAATACACCTGAAAGAAATGCTTTAGAAAGTTATTTATGAAATTCTTAGATTATAAAACCTCACACTGATGATTTTGTGAAGGAACTGGAGAAGGCTGGAAAATAATGAGTGTGCCGGATTTTATCTCATTCACCTAACTTCCACTTAGAGCAAATCGTTCTGAGGGCTTTTGAGTAGAATCAATAAGATTTTCTCTTATTTCCACCTGCAAGTAAGATTTCACTTATGGATATATATGGTGGATACAGATATATATGGGTAATGAAAGACTTGCAGTTTTCACGTCTCTTTTCGGGACTTTTGTCTGACAGCTCAAGACAAATGTGTTTCTGGTGCCCACGGCTGTCAGCACCTGTGTGTGAATGACAGGTCTGGGTCTCATCACTGCGAGTGCTTCGAGGGCTACACTCTGAATGCAGACAAGAAGACATGTGCAGGTAAGGTCTACTCAGCTGATTCCTTCTGTGGCAGTGAAACCAACGTACAAGGATGGAGGAGTCGAGGTTCAAGCCTTCTGCCATGCTTACAGCTAAGCTGTGCAGTGGCTGCTCTGCAGGTGCTGAGCTCTCTGGCTTTTGCAAACATGGATGGTGCAGAAGAAAACTATTAAGAAAGGGTAGGGAGCGGGGGGGGCAGTGGTTAAGAGGAAAGCTGATTAAATATAAGGTCCCTATCCGGGAAAATTTTATTAGCCCTGGACACTGGGGACTTTTTAAACAAATAGGAGATTTTAGAGGAAGTCAGTTGGTCAGTAACTACTTGATGTGATAGGCTGAACTGATCTTTTTCCAGTTAAAACTTGGCCTGGAACTTGCTGTAGCATTAGTCTTATGAAGCTGAATAATTTGGTAAAGGAGACTTTGTGAGCGCCTGAATTAGACCCACACAGCTCCTCCAGGAAGCCTGCCTAAGGACGTTCCCTGACGGTTTCTAGTGATCGGTCTGCAGGGAATCTGAGCCTGTGCCATGGCTAAGGAACCCTCATTAATGTGATTTAAACGCCCTGGCAGAACAGGGCGGCGTTTACAACTGTGAAAGCTCTCCTAAACGACAGAATTCCTAGCTCTGGAAGTGGTGCTCAGTTTTGGCAGGCTGAGTGCTTTTTAGACTTCGCACATCTCTCCTCTCCCTGAGCACCTTGTCGGGACAGATGGGGGGAAATAACACCACCGGCTCCCCAAAATGTGCATAGAGAGCAAAATAAAAGAACAGTGATAGGAAATATGGAGACCTTTTTCAGATGGGAAGGGAAACAAGATGGGGAGGGAGGGAAAAAGAGGGTTAGGAAAAAGTGGAAATAGAGACTTGGCAAGTGGGAAGAGGATTGACAGTTGGAAGGCACAGGGAGGAACGGGAGGGGATGAAAAAATTAAAGTGTGTTATGTACGTGTACAACTCCCCAAGACGAATATAGCCACGGTGTACTTCAAACATGTACTGATCAAGACACATTTAAACGTAAATTTAAAAACTGAAAAAAAAACCCATGAAATCAGGAAGCGCGCTTTGAGCACCTACTCTGTTCCCAGGATAGGAACCTAAGCACTGAGAAGATGAGAAAGTGTGAGCTCCTGCCTCAGTGGTTTACAGCCTGGGGGTGCGGGGAGAGAACACTTCTTCCCGAAAGCAGAAACGCTATAGCCAGAGGGAGGCGCTGCTGGGAGGAAAGAGCTGTGCAGGCCGAGGAGGCCGGGGAGGGACTGAGCCCGGGCTGGAGTGTGCCCTTCCGGGTGGGCGGAGCCGGCTGGGGTAGGGAGGACTCGCTCCAGCTAGTTACACGCACCTGGTGGGTACATTCAGTCGCCAGAAACGTGGAGGAAAAGTGAAACAAAAGCACATTTTCATTTAAATTAGCACATACTGAGGAATAATAAAAAACACACTTTTGGGGGGTATCAGGATTCAAACTTGGGCCCTTGTGCTTGTGAGGCAAGCAAACAGTGGAACCACTGAACTAAATCCCTGGCCAAAGAAACACTTTATTAGAAAATAAAACATCAAGGACATTTTCTATGTGAGGATACTCCCTCAAAACTGCAGCCAGCACTTTTCCTAAGTGAGCCATGCATGGCGTTAAGCATTTTATACACCCAGGAATGCCGTCAGCCCTCACAGCAGGGAGGAGATGGAGTTAAGTAGCAGAGCCAGGGTTTGAACTGGGTCCTTACTCTCAGGGCTCCAAGCTTTAACCGGAAGGCTGTTATTCCAAAGAGCAAAGCAGCAGACGGCAGAGAGGGATGGAGGAGGGAGAGGAGTGGTAGGGAATTTTGTGTCTGTGTTCTAAGGTGATAATGAGCAACACTGGCCCAAAGCTGGGGTCCACCCACGGGCGGTCTCTCCCTTGGCCTCCTGTCCCCTTGCCGGGCGTGACGGAGGCTAATGAATTCATGTGGACCCCGGTCCAGGGTCAGGGCTGGAGGCAGGTCCAGCTGATTGATCTCTGTGTTGTGTTAAGTAGGGCAGAGGGGAAAATGAAGTATTCCGCCAGTAAGTATTTCGCTGAACATATGCCTCACTTGGAAGGGAGTACGTACACTAAGGTTGGGAAAGCAGTTCATGGGTAGGTTATGTGGTACGGTGAGTCGCGGAAGGTTTTTGAGCAGGAAGTGTCACTTAGGAAGAGAGTCAGAAGGAGCAAATAAACGCCACTTGTATTTCCCAGGGAGCCTTCCTGGATTTACTGATGGAGAGTTGCTTGCTGTTTGTCCTGGGCCAGTTTGGACATGAGACTGAATGCTTTGCTCTGCTCTGCTGTTATTTGGGCAAAGTGTTGTTGTCCCTGAAACGTTATTTATTTGACAGATAATCAATGCTTTACTGTCCAATCATACACATTGTCATATTGTTCTTATTAACATTTGTATTACGTTTCTCTCTGTGTTTGTGAGTGTGTATTTTTGTATGTCTCCAGCGATGTTTTCTGTCCCACTGTATAAGCTATCAAGGGCAGGGCTTGGTCAACATAGTCCTTTCTGTGCAGCCTCAAGCTTAGCTCCATGTACAACGAGGTCCTTACCAGATTATTTATGGTAACGACCCACGAATATCTGGAGATGTTGACTGTCATCAGAATGAGTCAAGGTAAATTCTGGGAGATCATCAGAACTCAGTACCGTCCAGTGCTGTGGGCAGAAGAACAAAGTGAAGGGCCTCTCAGAGAGCTGCAGAAGGGAAAGAGAAGAGAGATGTCTGTGGTCACGGGCATGTAAGTCCTGGAGAAGGGGAACAGGCCTCCCCTGGAACACGGGCTTGTGGCTGCCTACGGAAGGGAGGATTCATCTCAGCACTGCTCGGGACCAGTGAAGCAAGTCCAGTTCTGCTTAACTAACATGTGGACATTTTCTTCTTTCCTGCTGCATGCCCGGATAGTCCGTGACAAGTGTGCCCTGGGCACTCACGGCTGCCAGCACGTTTGTGTGAGTGACGGGACCGCGTCCTACCACTGTGACTGCTTCCCAGGCTACAGCTTGAACGAGGACAAGAAATCGTGTACAGGTGAAGACCGGCCCTGTAGGAGTATTTCTCACAGTAGGAAAATGTCCTAGGAGAAAGCTCCTCTTCACAGCTGTGCTCCTTTCTCTGGCCAGAGCCTTCCAGCAGTTTCCAGTCGTCTACACCTTAATTACCCTCCTCTGCCAGTCTGTTCTCCTTGATCTGATCTCACATCTCTGCCTTTTTTCTTCCTAGTTAATTTCCCTGTGTAGTCCTGGGTTTTGTTGCAGTAGAGTACACATGACATAATGTTCTCTGTTCTGACCACTGTAAACGTACTTTGGTGACATTCAGTACATTTGCACTGCGGTGCAATGTCCCCACTGTCAGCTCCCGAACAGTTTCATTACCCCAAACTGAAATTGTGCTCTATGAACAGTAACTGCCAATTCTTCACTCTTGAGACCCCTCCTGACCTCTATTCTACTCCATGTCATTTTCTAAAAGCTCCTCATTTGCCACCAGCTTCCCTCTATCCACAGAGGACAGTTGATATTCCAGAAACATGCTCTGTGCCTGCTGTTTCCATCCTTGCTGAAATCGATCTCCCTCTCCACCTTCCAGGTGGGAAATAAATGTACCAGTTCAGTAGCAGCAGTGCTGGTAAGGGCAGGTGCCCAGAGGGACTGGAGCAACCAACTTCAGGCTGGGAGGGTCCTTGAGAGCTAGGGAGAAGCTGTGCTCAGGTTTCTCCCATGGGGCTGCTGATGGGGAAGGAGAGCAATCCAGAGTCCTGAGTGACAGCCTAGAAGGGGAGAGGAAATAAAGGGGGGCTGGTGTGAGAAGCGTGGTGGGGCGGGGAAGGAAGCTTGGCACAGTGCAGCCTGGGGAGTTAGGCAGGGGCCCAATCATGCTGTGCTTCTGAGCCACGGGGAGAGAAGTTCGTGTTTCATTCTAACAGCAGTGGGAACCCTTTGCAGGGTTTAAGGCAGTGATGAGCAGAGTCCATTTATATTTTTAGAAGTCACTCTAGCTGCTCTGTGAAGGCTGGACAGGGTGGAGGCCAGTACAGTGGGCAGGCTTGGGAGAGGATGGTGATAGAAGTGACAGAAGTGAACTGACCCAGGCCACGTGTTGGCTGGTGCCGGTGTGGCTGGAAGACGGAGAGAAAAGGAAATGTGTGATGCCTGGTTACGGGGGCGCTCTGGCCCATGGCAGTCATCCCTCTCATGTAACAGGACTAGGATTCCCCACTATAGAACACCCTTGAGTGGCTGTCTTTACGAGGCTCTGAAGTTTTCCTGACATTCTGTGGCAGACCAAGTCTGTTGTCAGCCTGAGTCTCTGGTCCACTGAGGAGAAGAGTGAACTCACTTCAACCCTGTTGAAAACCGATTGACCTTAAATGTAAGAGCGTATTTCCCAAATCTCAATTCTCTTCCACCTATCTACTTATCTTCCTTTATGTCCTTATCACATTGCCTTAATTACAGCAGCTTTGTAATAAGTTTTGGAATGAAGAGACCTCCAGTTTTGTTCTTCTGTTTAAAGGTTGTTTCAGCTATTTTTTCCAAGATTGCTTGGTCTCTTTCAACTATCTTGTCAGTTTCCCCTAAAATGGCACTGTGACCATGATAGACACTGAATCAAATCTATAGATCTATTTGGGGAGCATTTGGATCTATGCTGATGTTCTTTCAACCCATTAACATGGGTGTCTTCCCATTTATTTAGCTCTTCTTTGATTTCTTTTAACTATGTTTTATAGTGTTTTAGTGTACAAGTCTTGTACTTTTTTTTTGAGACAAGGTCTCACTGTGCAGTTCAGTTTAGGCTTGAGTTCACTATGTTGCCCAGGCTGGGCTCAAACATGCTGCAATCCTCTTGATTCAGCCTCCTGAATGCTGGGATTAAAGCCATGTGCCACCCACCACACCTGGTGCAAGTCTTGTACTTTTAAAAATTTATTCCTAAATATTGACGTTATTGTGAATAGGTCTGCCTCTCAAATTTCAAATTTGCTAACATATTAGTTTTACATTTTTTTAGAAAGTGGTTAGATATCCCACTGAGAAATGCCTTCGTAGAGCTTAGAGACTGTTAGACAAGAGACACTGAACAAGTCCTGTGGATACCCACTTTATACTCTATATGGAAACAGTGGGGGTCCATGATTTTCAAGAGACTTTCTGGTCTACTGACTAATTAATGGGCTGATTAAGATGGAATTTGGGCTGGCTGTTCCCAGGAGGTTCAATAGGTTTATTTTTTCTTGAATAGCTTTTAATATTTTGTTCTTGTGTTGAATTTCTTGTGTTGAATTTTCTTGAGTAGTATAGGCTTTGGTATAATTTTTTTTTTTTCCTGGCCATGACTATTTGAAGTTCTATATGTCTCAATTACCTGTATCTCAAGTTCTTTCTCCATGCTTGGAAGAAATTTTCTGCTATTACTTCTGTGAACATGTCTTTTATGCCTTTTGTGCTTTCTTCTGATTTTTCATTGTTTTCAATTAATCTTATATTAGTCTTTTTTTCATTGTCTAGCAGCTGTTGGATTAATTTTATGTGGTCCCTTACTATTTTTAAGAGTTCTTTCATTTGATGACTGCCAGTCACAAGCCTGTCTTCTAGATCTCATAATTTATATTCACATTGGATGATTCTGCTGTGTGTGCTTTCAGTAAAATTTTTGATCTTCTGGATTTCTGTTGGAATCTTTTATAGAATCCATTTTTTTTATTGGGCATAATAGTTTTGATGTCTTTCTTGAGATTCTCTATTTTAAAATCTGTATTTATTCTAGATTCACTAAGCATTTCCTTCATTATGGTCATCATCTCTTTAATTATTGCTGTTTTGTGAAGAGATTTATTGATCTGTTTTGTTATTTCATAAAATTCAGCTGGGAGGTTTTTGATCTCTTTCGCCTCAATGCTCCCTTGATTTGTCTTGGGAGAGTTATGAATTATGGGTTGCATCTTGCTTTAGTGCTCTCTCACTAAATTTGTTTTTTTGCATTGAGGCTTTTAAATTGCCTGTGGTATGTAGCTTTATTACTAGTATGGAGACCTGTTTAGGAAATGACTACTTTTCAAAGATATCTTCTAGGTACAGCTGGATTCTGGCTTTTGAGTCTGTCCCAAGATCCTACCTCTTCAATTTATTAGGGATGTGTAGCCTAGCACCCAGTTCTTTGGTATTAAACCATCATATTGTTTATGACCCCAGATAATCTAGGTATTGGCATATAAGGAAGATCAATTGAATCACAATTATGTTGTCTTGGCTAAAGTAATATAATCAGTAATAACAATAGCATCAAGCACAGACTGGAAAATGACAAACTGTGCTAACAAATAGTTTGCCACTTCAACCATAGGTACAAGATTTATAGTTATGGCTGGGTGTGGTGGTGCTTGCCTGTAATCCCAGCACAGAGGAGGCTGAAGCAGGAGGCATAAAAGACATGTTCACAAAGTCAATTGCTTTGACTTTGAGGCTAGCCTGGGCTACATAGTGGGTTCAAGACCAACCTGAACTACATGGTGACATCCTATCTCAAAAAAAAAAAAAAAGAGAGACAGGAAAAAAAGGTTTATAGTTACATAACAAAATCTAAGACAAATCAGACAATTCTATACAGTAAACATCCACTCTACAAAGCAATTTTTCCCTCAGGGGAGAAAATTTAAACGGGATCAGAGGGAAAAGAATAGAGAAAGAAAAGAAGAGAAAGTGATTAGAAGCAAGACTGAAGGACAAAGAATGATTATCCAAGCCTTGAGGAGCTGGTAAAGAAGATAGAAGGGAAAGAGGGAGGGAAAAAAAGAACACAATAAAACAAAAAATAAAACCAATGTTTACATTCATGAAAAAACAAAAATAAAACAAACAGAAAAGAAAAAAAGAGAAATATCAATCCCCCCTGAAAAAAGCAAAGAGAAAAAAAAATAATCTTTTCTGTGATTTCAAGCCTATGGCTACCTTCCAGGATCTACAGGTTTGTGATACTGTCCAGTTCAGGGCACGACTCTCCTGTCACTGGTAAGCAAAGGAGGCAATCAGAGCCCAAATCCATGCTGGATATTCCCAGCAATCCTGCAGTAGGATTAAGGCAGGGTGCCAATTCTGGTACTTTCCAATCCACAGAATTTCAGGCTGATCCTGGCCTGTGGTTGTGGGGTTGGGCCTGAGTTTTTCAGCCTACCACACTTGTTTCTTGCTAGCCTGACATGGCTCCCTGACCCTGGGTGTCTCTCATGGTTTTCCTTCACGCAGTCACTGTGAAATTTCAACATTGGGAGCCCTGAAATGAAGCCAGCCCATGGCTGCTCCAAGTCCCGAGTTCAGCTGGCCCCTCCCTAAAATGGCACCTGGCCTAGCACCCTCTCCAGGGGACACTGCACTTGCTTGGACTGGAGTTACTCATCCGCTGTTGTGTACTCCATTCCCCTGATGCATTTTTCCCTGGGGGTCTCTGGAGTTGCCTGCTTTCACTGTGTCTCTGTTGATTTGATCCTCCGCTCTTAACACCGTGAGCCAGAAGCTGGGGAGAAAGTGCTGCCTGCCCGCTTCTTTTTCTGCACAGAGGTCTGTCTCTTCACTTTATCTGTGGGCTCCAATTTTCCCTTCAGATCCTTCCTGGGTCCCAGGTAACCCTTCTCTCCTTTCTTCCCCAAGTTGTTATTTTCTAATGTCTGGCTTCTGAATTCTGGAGAGGCTGATTTGTTGCTGCTTACCACACTGCCATCTTCCTGGAAGTCTTCTCAGTAGAGTTTAGACAGGTAGATAAAAGACATTTGATTAAATGAACTTTTGGCCCCTCAGCCCTATATCGTATTATCATAGAATGTGAGGGAAAATGTTGGAGCAAAGCATGTCCCCATCCTTAGTAGTTCCACTCAGTTGGGAGATTATACAGCCACCTGCAGACATGGAAAGTTGCCTTTCTTTCTAGAATTTGAAGGGTTATAATGTTAAATAAGAAAGATGCCTTATTGAATTACCGAGAGAAGTAGGAGTTAGATGGACATGGTGGTGCACACCTGTAATCCCAGCACTTGGGAGGCCGAGGCAGGAGGACCGCTGAGTTCGAGACCAGCCTGGGCTACACAGTGAGTTCCAGGTGAGTCTCAACTACATAGCGAGACCCTGTCTCACAAAACAACAAAACAAAACAAACAAATGAAAAACAACAACAAAAAAGAAGGAAGTAGAAGTTATCTTCATCACTCTCACATTTACTTAAATGTCAACATAAACCTGAAGTTTTAGTTTGAAAATAATCATGCATAAAAACTAGAACTCTCATCAGACCATTTAATAGAGTATCGGCTCTATATAGAAAATCAGGAGTAACTTAATTTTACTATTTGGAATCTTTTGAGCATACAAAGAAAGCTATTGTTTTCATTTTCTTTTCTTAATGCGGACACAAGGACATTGTCTTATTCCTGTATCCTTGGTGTCTGCCTACACCAACCATATTTTTAAAAATTTACTTTATATTGTTGATAATCTTTGTCAATCACAAAAGTGTGGAGTATTATAATGAACCCTCATATAATCCTTACTTAGCTTCAACAATTATGTGTCTTTCCAGTGTCTCCTAATGCAGCTGTTTCTGTGACATTATCATTCCAAAGTACTTGCTCCTCTTTCTGTTTGCTTTTACATCCTTTGACGTTCTGGAAAATTCACATAGGTAATGCGCCTTAGAAGTGGCACAATTGAAATTGTAGATTTCCTGGGAAATGCACATCAAAATGATATCAAGATTCCATTTCACCCTAGTTGAAATTGCTATTGTCAAGAATACAAAAACCAATAAATTCTGGTAAGGATGTGGGGAAGGAGAAACCTTTTGATGCTGCTGGTGCAAGCCAAGTAGTGCAACTACTATGGAAATCAGTGTGGAGGTTCCTTAAAAACTTAAAAATAGAGGTACCATTTGACCAAGGTACACCACCCTTCGGCATATACCTGAAGGAATGAAGGCCAGAATATCATAGCGCAATATACAAGGTATGCTTGAAATATGCAGTAAATGTTTATTTAAAATTCTTTTTATTTTTAAATTTTATTCTATGTTTGTTTTTTGTGGTACCAGGATCAAACTCAGGACCTGGCCCTGAAGTGAACGTTTAAGTTAAAAACAATTTGTTACATTAAAGTTCCCCTCCAAACACTCTCCCTTATCCCATGCTATACTGCCAGACCCCAGCCAGCGGACAGGCAGGTGAAACTACAGATATTTACAGAAAAGGACTTCAGAAGTGCTTCCATGAGAGAGTATTCTATGGGGAATTAATGAGAATGTATCTTTTATTGTCATACATTTTTTAAAAAATGAAAATATTCATCATAGCTTTTGATTATACCACATACATCAGACAACATAAGGAATCACCTCAGTTACCATCAACAGATGAATGGGTAAAGAAAATATGGTGTATATACACAGGGGAGTAGTGTTCAATCATAAAAAGAACAAAACTTTGCCATTTGCAGAGAGAGAAATGGATGGATCTGGAGATCATCTTGTTGAGTAGTGTTAGCCATATGCAGGACTGTAGGATTCCCGACTTGTTACCACGACTTGTTACCATTCCTAGAGACCGCTAACATTTTGTGTACTGCCTTGGTCTGCAGCCGTTGAAGAAGCCCGGAGACTCATTTCCACTGAAGACGCCTGTGGGTGTGAGGCCACACTCGCCCTCCAGGAGAAGGTCAGCTCCTATCTCCAGGGACTCAACACCAAGCATATCCTTTCTGGAAGGTTTTCCTTTTCTGCTTGGAGCCAACACATTTTAGGACATTCTCCAGGCATGTGCCTTATTTATTGCTCTATAATAAGCAGAAGTAACACAGTAGAAGTACACAGTATTTTTTCCTTCTAGTTTTTAAAAGATGATTTAATAGACTGTTCTCACCATTTACGTGACTTCTTTCCCTGGTGCTTTTCCTCAGCAGTATATTCTCCTATGGGGTTCTCATGTAATGGTTGGAATGATTATACTATGATTCCTTAATGTGGTTCTCTAAGTTCAAAATCTGTATTCATATGGAACAAATCCCATGATTGATGAGGTGTGACATCTCAGATTACCTGTGCTCCTACACTTTGGCTAGCCAAGTGGTCAGAAAATAGATTTCAAAATACAACATGAATGTCAAAGTCAGTTCTTTAGTAAAACCATTAAGAAAAAGGCACATCTTAAGTGAACAGCTCTGTTTCCATGTGCCTTAGACGAGTGGCAGACAGACTGTGGTGGGTATGACCTAGGAGCATGCAGATTTCCTAGTTTTAAAGGACTTCATTGCCAAATTCTTCATATTTAAGATGCCACTTGGAGTTAGGCTTCTTTTCCCTTCCCCCATTTCGGATTGACGCTCCCTGGCCACACAAGAGAGGCAGATCTCTCACTCACTCTGATGCATTCACAGGCACTTCCTGGAAAAGTAAAAATTTCAGAGCCAAAGGAGACAGTTCAACATTTTCTTTAATCTTGACACTGCTCCCCTCACCCACCCCACTAGGAGATGTCTTTCCCCTTGAATTTTGTGAGCAAAAATATTTGCTGCAGTGGTCTGATTTGATCATGATGTTTAGGAATAAAATTTCTGAATTTTAAATTAGATATTTGGTGAGAAAATAGTTCTGCTTTTCTCCACTTCCAATAGGACATGCTTCTTTTCCCTTGTGTTGAGGTCTGTACAGGTGCACTTATGTTTTCTAATGTGTGTCAGTGGTGTTCGCCTTAACAATTAGCCACTCGATGACATTTTGGAGAAGTTGCAAGTACATGAATATGGACAAATACATCGTTAAATTGCTCAAAAATTTCACCTGGAAATGTGGAGATCTCAGTGTGATATGCATTGCACACTTGTGTCTCCAATGTCCCTGCTAAAAATTTGCCATTGTAAATGCTTCAGAATTACTGGATAAACAGTATGAGCATTTTCTGGAGAACCAGTATTATTTTTCCAAGGAAATATAGGTGCAGATCTTTAAAAGCAAACTTTAGTGTCTTTAAGCTATAACTGTGAAATGGTAGGTGCCAAATAGAATGAAAAATGTTGTTTCTTGCTAGGCATGATTGCACAGGCCCCCCCACACACTTGGGAGGCTGAGGCAGGACAATTGTTGAGAGTTCTCGTCAGCCTGGGCTATAGCCAATTTAAGGCAGACCTGAACTATAGAGTAAGACTGTCTCAAAAAGCCAAAACAACAATAATAATGTTTATTTTATTATCTACTAATTGAGCCATTTACTTTTAAATATTTATATTAGTAAGATAATGGTATTCACATTGGAAACTTTAGCTCTATTTTCTCAGTGGTATTTATAATATAAGCCAGTTTTATTTCTGAGAGTGCAAATTGTACAAAGTATTTGCATTTAGAAAGTTCATATAATTAAATTGAGAGGAAAATATAACTAACACTTTTCATTTTTTGCTCGTCTTTGCTGATCATTGAAGTTGTGATAAAAAGATTGTAATATACATGTCTAAAAACAGTCAAAACAGATTAATATTATATGTCATTTAAAACTCATTCTGGTCTTAGACGTGCACAGATGCACTATGTGTGAATTTAGAGCGTTAAACTTCTACCAAGGATAAAAAACCCTAAATTTACTTTATCATTTTGATTTAGGACCTAATCATTAAAATTATATTTATAAAATTGGCATAACAAGGAACAAAATTGAATATTGTCTTTCTTGATGTTAGTGATAAGCCTAATTTTTCATATACATTCTTTTTCTTAGCTCTACAGCTTACAAACTTTTAGAATAAAACAGTCCTTTAAATTGTGTTCTACTCAGTTCTTTTTTAGTATTGTTTTAATATAATAAAAAGTTACCTTTATATGTCAGTGTCATGACTGGTGTTTTGGTAATTTGTGTCAATTTTGTGTAGTAATGTATTTCCTTATTTTGAACTGAATGATTAATTTGAATGTAGGACATTTTCTTATTTAAGGAAACAACATCGATACTCTTCCTATAATGTAATTTCACACTCTTGAGGCTAAAAATGTACAGGTTAGACAGAGGGCTTTAATTAGATATGTTTGGGAGAGAGAATAATATAAAATTATCTAAATTTAGATAAAGTAATTAAGAGCTCTGCATTGATATAAACTCATGAAAAGTAAATATAATCTATAGATATAAAAGATAACTAAAGAAGTGAAAAATAAGCTGGGCATGGTGGTGCATGCCCATTAATTTCAGCACCTGGGAAGCTGAGGCAGGAGGATTGCTGAGTTGAAGACCAGCCTGGATTACACAGCAAGACCTTGTTTCAAAAAAAGAAAGAAAAAAAAAAAAAAAGGAAAAAGAAAGAAGTAAAAAATAAATACATGAAGACACTATATATGAAAGATGTTACTTTTCAAAAAATTTGAAAGGACAGAGTTATGGTAATATTTTTCAAATTTATTTGAGCACAGAATCCATAATATATATTAATATGTCACCAGAATTACTGGTACAAAGAAATGAGAGCTGACGGACATGGAGGGAAAGGTAAAGAGGGGTTTCAGGAGTGTGACCGTGAGTGGACAGCTGTAATCGTGTCTCCACATTAACACTGATGTGTTTCACGAGTGGCCTATGAGTAGGTGTCAGTGTCTTGGGCACTATTCAATACTGAAAAAGCTAACACCAATAATGGAAAATGTATGAACTGAATAGAATAGACGTTGAGTTTGCAGATCTCTGGGAGACCTGAATTATGCGTTTGGTAGAGCGGCCTTTTAGAGGGAGTGTGAGATGACCAGGGAGGTAAGGCCCGATGTTGGAAGGCTGGAACCGCGCTGGAGAACAACTGGCTGTCTCAGGTCAGGGTTACCTCACAGTAACATTTAGGACAGAGGGATGGTTGTCAGTCCTAGAATAAGCTGGGTGAGACAACGGGTCGGTTAAGGGATTTGGCTGGCACTGGAAGGCTCCAAGCAAGGAAATAAACCCTGCTGTGTAAGGTACACACAAGATCACATAAGTCAACAGTGGGAGCCATCCGTCGGTCACGCTAAAAAGAGGAAACCAGAGCAAAGATTGGACGAGACCAAGTAATTACAGCGACGATTTGCATTATACCTGGTTAATGCAAGAAATGCTCTCCTACTTGCATTTCTACCTTTTATGTCTTCAATTTTGGGGCGCGGTAACTCTCTGGCATTCACATAGGAGAAAGAAGGGGGAAAAAACCTACTACGGTATAAAAAGACAATATAGAGAAGTCGCCTCCAGGGGAGAAACCAGTACAGCGGCGCGCTGGGCTCCAATGGCACCTGTGGCTGCAACAACCACAGCTGCACCCATCCCTATCCTAGAGGCTCTCCAGGTTGCAGCAAGAGATGAGCTGTTCTGAAAGCCCTAAAAGAGAATAAAAGCCGCTCCAACTCGCTTTCGCGGGTTCCCCAGCTGCGAGAGGAGAAGGCCATCCTAGAGAAAGACATTCGCTCCACCTGGCCCGCCTGAACGCAAGCCAGGACCTTCTTCTCAGAGCGCCGGGCAGTGGGCCTCCTGCGGATCCCAGGCGCCCAGGGATTCGGTCCCAGGCGCCCAGGGATTCGGTCCCAGGCTCAGATTCCCCGGCGGCCGAGCCGGGGCCGAAGACCGCGCAGGCGCAG